CATCGGAGGAGAGGACCGGAGGCCAAGGCAACGCGAGGTGCAGCCGTAAGCTGATCAAAAGTACCGCAAGGAACAATATCTCTTTCTCTCGAGGCTTGCCAGCTAGATAGAACGGGCCCCGTGGCCCCGTGTCTAGTAAAAATCCGTGCGCACGTGCACGCGCGGGAACACGCGCGCTTTTCGAATGGTAATCAATGGCGGTGAAATTTTGAATGGCCGAACGAAGACATTCTCCGCTGCTGCGGTGAGCTTCAAAGGATAAGTAACGGCACACCAGTGCGTCGCGTGAGAAATTTAAAGTATCAATTTTCGATCAATCAAATATCCTGGTTAGATTCTTTACCCCGGGGAAAGGTTGCTTTCCCACCAACGCGTTAATTAATTCGATTACGACGAACACTCTCGTCCCCGAGCACGTTCCTCGAGTTCTGAATGTTGCTCCAAGCGGAAGAAGAACCGTAGAGACACGCGTTTAATTGACAAGCTACAGATTTTCGTTTAATAGTGTATAACCACCGTTCTGCCGGCAGCGCCTTTTCTTTCTTCGTCGAAATCCCCCGATTACGTTTTTCTATTGGGTTGTTTGGAAAATTCGTGCCGTTTCTGAAGGAAAATTGAAACGCGGGAGATTTAAATTTTAGTATACATTTCTTAAATTATACAGGTGCCATTCTGTTTTACGACCTTTCTCCATCTTTCAGGCAAGTTGGAAATTCCGTCTTTCCAAAATCTCTCAGGTTTCTCAGCGAAAAACTTTCCCACGTGATCATTTTACCTCGAGCAAAGAGTCGAAGTGTTTTTCTATTGAGGGAATTTTGTAATGATCGAAATAGGTGGAAATCAGAGGACGCGAGGTATGGTGAATATGGTGGATGGGGTAGAACATCCCAACCGAGCCCCAACAATTTTTGTCGAGTTATCAAAGACACACGAGATCGTGCATTATCCTGATGAAATAAGACGTCCTTCTGATTCGCTATTTCTGCACGTTTTTGTTCAATTGCTGCCTTCAATTCGTCTAATTTGGAACAATACTTCTTCGAATCAAAAAATCGGCACGAACTTTCCGGAATACCAGCCGAATCGCCAGAGGAGGATCGAACGAGGAGACTAGCGATATCGGTACTATCGGAGGTTATCATCGCGAGAAGCCATAACTTGGCGACTCCTATTCCGAGGCGACAGTATCTATCGATAGACGAAAAGGCAGGAGAATCGGTTTCGAGGATTCGTCGTGGTACGAAGGTCAGGGTTCAACGGCGTGTGTCGTCCCGTTCACCCGTTTCCCGGGGTCGAGCTTGCCGATCGTTAATCAACGGCTCGTTATCCGGGGCCCGATCGTAGAAGGCACAAGTAGCCGGACCAGCGTCCTCCTACGAGCAAACGAGGACACCGAGAAGAGAGCTGCCGGCGTTAATTGCTCTCTGCCTTCGATTATCGTAAATCGCGTCGCTCGCTGGGCTCCTTTAACGAGATACGCCGATGGATCGCGTCGATTGAAGAGGCTGAATGAGAAATCCGTTTATCCAAGCCTCTCGATGAAAGTGAGAAGCCGTCGACGGCTTCGCGATCATCGGTAATGAAAGATATCGGTTCGATTCATCGACTCACTTGTGAAAAATCTACCTAGGTACACGTACGTACCGAATAATAAATTTAGATTAACGCGACACGCTTCTTACCGACCCGATGTAATCTAGAAGATGCACGGTTTATGGTAATTCAAAGGAGTTTGCGTGGAATCGTAAATCCCATAGAGACTTTTACGATAACACGTGCTGTGGATCAAGGAACACCTGTAATTTCTATTTCCTGTAACAGCGAAAGCAGCGTAAATAGGGGATGAAAAAGGCTAGAGAAAGGAAGCTGTTACGTGTAATTAAACTATTCAAAAATTTGGCAGAGATGGTTACCTTTGTAAATCCCATAGAGAATTTTATTGCAACGTGATGTGGATCAAGGAACACCTGTGATTTTTATTCCCTGCAACAGCGAAAGCAGAGTAAATAGGGGGTGAAAAAGTCTGGAGAAAGTAAGCCATTACGTGTAATTAAACTATTCGGAGACTTGGCAGGGATGGTTGCGTATATTAGGTAAACGGTCTTATTAAATCCCCGACGAGGTTCCCATTATAACCGCGCGAAGAGTGAAACCATTAGGAACACGAACAGCAATTTACGTCCGAAGATCGTGATTCCGGATTATGAGCTACAAACGCTGTCCGCAAAAACGGCTTCTCGTTAAGGGGGTCTAATCGACCGCAAGTTCCTCTTTGCGTCCAACAAAATCTCCCATGCGAATTCCTCGTGACCGCTAGAAATCTTCCTGTACACATCCGAATATTAACCTTAATGTAATTCTTCGTCGTCTAGGGGAAAGACGCGGAAGATCTGTGGTATCCAATAGCGGGTATCCAATAGACACCGTGGTTACCTTTTTCTCCCTTTTTCTTCCCAACGAACGTCAATTTTCTACGCTGTAACTGTCAAGAGCTTCGGTAATGTCGCGCCTAATCGTCGGGAGCAGGGTCGAATGAAGGCTGGCAGGATACATGGAAGAAAGTTGCACTTTTGCGAACGATGCAGCTAGCATAAAGCGAATCGAGCAATTAGTAGAACGCTCAGGTAAATCTAGACGATCAGGGTCTCGACCTCGGATCGGCGAATATGCGCGACGAGCTGCTGGCATTTTCTCTTTTGGAGCACACGTGTCGCCTCGCGCGAAGCTGCGTATGGCTAGGACCGGATGGAAGATCTACGAGACTCTCCCTTCGGCTTTCTCCTTGAGGAACAATGATGCCCTACTAAGCGAGACGTTCGAGAAGTTCGCAAAGGTGCAACTCGGCGAGTGCTACCGGTTGCCTGCACGAATCCGTGGATCAGAAGTGGTCGTGCATGATCCGCGACACGATCGAGCTAACAGAGACATGACACAGCGTTCCGATTGCTCTTGCGTCCCGTGAATTTCCATATTCCACCCATTACAGCTCGCTAATCATCGAACACATTTTTTCTTGGCAGCCGAAACACTCGTTCTCTCCTGGTCAACCACGTTCATCCCGATGGACGAATGGCCTTCGACCAGTGGCATAAATTTCGTTTCAGATAAACCTAACAGCTGGCCTGAAGCATTAGAACGACAACCGCGTTCCTTAAACAGGCAATTCTTATGTTTATTAGCCCCGTTAAATAGCAAGTCCTCGAAAATTTATCGGCCAAAATCGAACTGGAGTCGTCGTTAGAGCGTCTAATACCTAACATCTGGATGGCGACGAATGTGTCCGTATGCAAATGCCAATTTCCTGTTCGATGATGTAGTATTATACCGGTAATAGCGTTAAAAATAGCCAGTTGACCTAGGATATAGGAGAGAAGGAAAATGGCCGCGATGGCGGCGCTTTTGAGACCTTTTGACAAGAATTCCTCATAGAAACGGCATTTTCCGGAATAACCCGTTTCTTTAATTTTCTCGATGTTCGTTACATGTAGAGTTCCTCGAGCACGTGAAAAATCTGAATCTTGATAAGCCGAGAAATATTAGCCCGTGACATTTTCTAGCGAAAGAACCGGTACCATGATAGCACGACAATTTGCGATCGCTTTGGGTCAGAACAGTTTAGCGAAATTCCCGGCTCCTGGCTCACTCGTCGATCTCCGTGAGCCACGAATCGACAAAGCCCCGCAGAGAATGCCCCATTATCGACAAAAGTATCGAGCTGCTCTGCCGAAAGACAAAAACCGTTTAACGTCACCGTACATTTTCGATAATATCGAATTATTTGCATAACCGTGCAGCGGGGCCCGGCCGAACGTTCTAAGACCGGTTTTATTACGTATCAAATCATTCTTGGTGAATTTTGAAGACAATTCGACCGCCATCGACGGAATCATTAACATTTTAACGAGCGGTTCCTCTCTTACCGGCAAACCCATAACTGTTGATTACAAATTAAACAACGTTACTTTGCAACGATTCCCGCATTTGCTTTGGACACGGCGGATGCCGCGTTAGGAATCCTCGGGCCTGGAATTCGCTCAGTGGCCATCTTCGAGATGACTTTTATAACTATCGAAATTCCCCTTCGTGGAGGATATATCAAAATTCGAGACGAACAGAATGGGTAATTAACATATTCGTGTCTTGCTCTTAGTTTCTTCTAACAGTTAATCGAAGAGGAGGTTCTTCTCTGTGAGAAACAATTTCGTGCGGAAATTTCTGTACGATATAGAGAGGACTAATTAAATTTGCGAAAACTTTCTTTGTTGGTTACTATACGTCCTCGTGCTTTCATTCTTGCAATGCTGATCTTTACTCAAACGTGGATTTTTATTTCTGAAATATGACTAGCCATAAATAAATAGATAGATAGATAGATAGATAGATAGATAGATAGATAGGTAAATAAATAGATAAATGGGTAGATAGGTAAATAAATAAATAAAGACACGTACCGTGCTCGATTTCATCCTCCGGAGGTCCTCCCGAGGTTCAATCGCGGTGACGAGCATTTTGACGAGGCGCCGGCATGTATGGTCCCCTTTGTGCGTTTCTCGATCAAAGGAAGCGCTCTGTCCACTGCACTTTCGTGCAGAGCATCCCGTATTTTCGAACAAGCTGTATAATTGCGCCACGTTCAGATGACCGCGGGCGATACGCGTCTGAAAATTGCAAGCCGCACCGTGCATACGCACGAAATTGTCAGTTACGAGGAAACGTGAAGTTGCACGGGAAGAACGCCTTGATTCGTGCTACCTCGAGGGATCCGGTGCTCTCCGTGGATCCCCTCGGATTAGGCCGACCGTCTGCGGAGCATCATCGAATTCCAAACTTCGGCATTAACATAATCCCATTTCGTAATCCCGTTCGTTTACTCGTACGTATCGATCATCGGCCGATCGTCAGAGGTCTAGACCTCCTGGAAGATCGACGTCCAGTCCGCCTCGAGGATCGTGTCGGGGGCCGAGGAAACAAAGTAACACCGATCCTCCGAATGTTCCCAGAGTGCAACGTTGCTGGATTCGTCAGCAGCACGGGCCAAGTCGAGAGGGTGCCGTACGTGTTCCTACCCCAACGTGGCCAGATAATCTACCCCCACGCGGAAATCCGCTTCGAAGGTAAGTTACGTCGAGCCAAAGGTACTCTACTGACCTTTCAAAGCCTCTCAGCCTACCACGACGATCGTCCACCTTATATCGCCTTATCTCTGCACCCTGCAATTCTATCCTCACCGATCGACCAATCTCTCGCACGTTGAAACACGATTTTTTACACGATGACGAAGGTGTGACCACGCCAGTGTGCGGAATAACAGGGGCTCAGCAATTAGGAAGAGCAGGATGGTCGGAACTAAGGAACCTTTCGGACACCGAGCCACCCTTCAGGCTGTTTCGTGACGAAGGAAGGACGTTTCTGCAGGTTAGTCGCATTCACCGACGTAAAATAAGTCATTATCCTGTCAGGAGGCGATGTCGTAATAAGTCTCGCTTTTCGCCATTCATTCGACCAGAACATTTCGAAAAGCCGATGCATCTTGCTCGTCGATTACTAAACTTTTTACTCCAATTGTATGTCCATCTCCCTTACGACTTTTGCGTCACGTTTCCCTCGATTATGTATTCCTTTCACTAACCAAAAATCAAAATATCGTCTCTCGAGAAGGCACACAACGCGTCAACTTGTGAGAAAATATCCAAAATTGTGTGAACATCGTTATGATCGCATCCGAGCCAATAAATCAGGGGGCTGAGAATCGATGATACTTCGAATTTGCGATAAGAGATTAAGAAAAATATCGAACCTCTGCAACGTTCGTTGTAAAAGGCAACTCGCGTGAAGGATATTCTGGAAGAAAAACGATCGGCGAGGGTAAAAGATGCGAAATTTATGAATCACGCGTTTATTACTTGGAGAAACGGAGCTGGGAGAAAAACTCGGGTGTTCTGTTCAAACGCGCGACGATTAAGATTCCCTTTTTCGCTACTTTATGATCAGGCATCGAGGGAATATTCCTGCTCGCAATAGCTTTTCAGCAAAGCCGATTTTTCGCGGTTGAATAAAATACAGACGTATACTCGCCGGGAAGCGTCGTAATTTCACGTTGTACTGTTGATCAACCGGTAAATGAACATCGGCCCTCGGTTTGTCCGAGGCAAATGAACGAAAGACAGGCGACCACCGTTCCTTCTCGATACTTATAAAGTGTACGATGTAAGGCTAATAAGGGAGCTCGAAGGAAGCCGCTTACGGAAACGCTTGGCAACGGTATGTGGTCGCGGCGTTAAAATTTCATGCACCGAAGAAATTCGAGGCGTGGTGGACAACGAAATATACGGTACGAATACGATCGGATCGTTCGCCATAAAAATAAGAACGAGGCAAGCAGAGGGGAAATAAAAAGGATTCGTTTAACGCGTGACTTACAAAACGAGCTAGCCCGTCGTCCCCAAAAGATAAATCTCCGGTGACTCGATCTATGTTTAAGCACTTTCGCTTTCCACGGTGTAATTCAAGCGATTATGTTTCAGTGGATCGGTGAAACCGGGCTAAGAGAGGCAGCTGAGGGTCGAGTAGTAACGGCTAAACTCGTCTGCAGAGACGCTTCGCCCAAGTCCAAGCTTCCTGGTGTCTTCACTCCATGCGTGGCTTTCAGGGTGGCTGGTTCACCGTCTAAAAGCAGTCGGTATTCACACTTGCAGCGATTCTCGATAGCTTGTCGTCACATCCCGCGATCGGATAAGCGTAAACGTGTTTGTTCAGCTTTGAACGCGAATTTAAGGAACGCGTGAAAATATTCGATTGGGAGAAAGTTAATTTTTAATTCTTTGCTTACTTTGCATCGCTGATACAGCGAAGAATATCTTCGTTTGACCAACGCAAACGCGACTGCTGTCGATCATCGCAGGCCACCGATGCCTTTCCATTGCACGAAACCTGTGAAAAGAAAAGATCCGTTAGTCTATATTTTTTCAGCGTTTCTTTGTTTCGTTCCAGACGTTCGAGAAGTGATGTTCTCCTCGACGACGCAACTTTCGCAAGGGCTTTCCACCACGGAGTACACGGCCATCGGTCTCTCGTCCGTGATCCTTGCCCTGATCTACGTCGCGAGCGTGTCCCTGTACCTGCATAGCAAAAAGGCCAAAAGGAAGATCGCCGAGGAACCAGAACTAAGCTTGACTCCTGGTCGAGAAGTGAGTGGATTGGTGAAGAACAACCCTCTGCTCGCTGCCTCGAGACACTTCGAGAGCGACACCAACAGCGGTTTGACAGAGAGCGACGTCGGGGATGATCTGCCACCGAGTGACGGTGAACAGGGATTCGAAAATGTTCGTGAACGCTTTCTCCTCGATATTCTATTCTTATTTCGCCCATTCGAAGCCTCTGCGAATTTACCTCTCCCGTGCGAACAGGTTACTTCGGCCATTATTCACCCACACTGCGTTTACATGGAGCAGTCCGAGACTTGCTTTGGAACTGGATCGATTCTAGGGGAAAGATTGCCAGAAGAGGATGTACGCGTTGTAGAAACTGCGGACAGTCCGCATCAACAGGATATCCCCGTGTTACCCGGGGCCCAGAGAAGAAAGCTGTACTTCAACCCTGCTTACTTTGACAGACAATTGCTGCTCGTAAGCCAGATAATCCGCGTAACTTATATAAATGGAGAATGAAGCGATTTTTCTTAACAGAAGTAGAGGAAAAGGTGATGATACGAAACCCCAGACTATCTTCGATATGCGTCAATCGTCGTTGCAAACTTAACTCGTGTATCACGAATAAGAGACTAATATTTGTTCTAATAATTTGGATTTACCAGCAGGATTTTGTATTACCACCTTCTCCTCTATATGCTTGATCGATAAATCGCGCGTTTTCATAACTCCAAGATAATTTGAAGACTGCCTGGCATTTTTCTAGGCGCCCCCTCCAGCGGCCATCGAGTTCCTCCTGAAAATTCGGGAAGTTATCTCAATCGCGAAGCACAAAATGGCTGCAAAGAAATTCGTTCCTACTCTCCTCGGTCAGTTAATAATCTTTCTGCTTGCTAAAAATAGTAGCAAAAGGTGTAATTAAGAAAGAAAAGAGAAATTATTTGATCTATGAATAATTCAGGCATCCCGGAAGAGGAAGCAAGCGCAGAACATTGCGACGCCACGGGCAAAAATCAGCAACGTTCAACTTCGAACTCAACTCGAAGCTCCATCACGAAGTCGCAACGGAAGTCGCAACGATGTACCGGATGTCCTGGTTGCATGGACACGTTCAGGGATAAAGCTGCACTTTCGGAACAGGATCAACCTAGTCCAGGTGAGAGCAAAGTTCGAGCATGGTTGGAAGACGTGAGGACCACGCCTCAACGACGTTGGCAAGACGCAGAGGAGGCTCGAAAGGCTCTTCAGGAGAGCACTAAAACCTTTAACAAGAACTTGGAATACCTGAAGGAACTGGCGAAACGAGACTTTGACGTGGATGTGAAAGGCTTGACGGGAAAGATCCTTTCCTCGTGGAAGGATAATCCACCGATGCTAAAAACGTTCCAGAATATGGCAAGGAGCGAAATTCTCGAGACAGATGATCGACCTAGCGTCTCGAAACGCTCAACCAAATCAATGTTCGAGGAATCGAACTGTTACTCATTGAGGAACAGAGATTCCCTGATCGGTGCTAATGGTGACGAAGCCATCAATGCCAAAGTGAGGAAAGCCATTGAAAATTCGTTCATTAAACAATTGGAGGAGAATGCTGCCTTGGAGAAGGGAATAGTGGAAAAGCTAGAAAGTAAGGAGAAGAAAACCATGGTTCCTAAAGACGAAGATAACAAAGAGGAGAGAAAGTCGGATGTTAATAACGGCTTATCAGGGAAGCAAACGAACATGTTCAATGGACATTCAGCGCGTTCACAGAAAGAGCTGCCGGATATGATTAATGAACTTCCAAACGCTAAAAATACGGCGAAACGCATCATGGATGCTGTAATCCGTGAGATGGTTGACGCAAAAGTGCTAGAACATCACTCGAGATCAGGAAATATCACGGATTACGAGGTAGATAGCTTAGAACGATCAAAGTCTAGCAGGAAGTCTTCGACTTCGCCAGAATCGACCGATCAATCGAGTCCAGCCTTGTCTACGGCTCTGCCAATGGACGAAGAATTAACGATGCAAAACGCTGTAATTAACACCAGAACCGGTGAAATGATGATACCTAATAAGTTGAGCAAAGATATCATCGAAAGAAGCTATTACAGTAGCCTACCCGAATTGATCTCCTCGCAAAAGTCCGAAAGTTATTCGCTTGTTAGCGAAGTGTACGTGAACGATGGTTATGACAGTCCAGCTTGCAGTGACGATTCTGGACCAGAAATTCAATATGAGCCCGAGAATCCTGGACACTTGACTATCAAGGTTCAAGATTCGTCAAAGAACTACGTGAAACAAGACGAATCTGAATACGAGCCAGACACATTGGACAGGAAACCGATGAAGCTAAAAATCAACGACGATGTGAACTACGAAAAGGAAGTCCCTGGCGAGACCTACGTGGACTCTCTCGAAAGACCTGCTCAAATTCTGCTAAAAAGCAAAGGCAGCTTTCGGGACCAAGACTCTCCGAGAAATAACTCCTCTTTGCAACGCGGCTACGGCAGTCTCCGAGAAATCTACGAAGCTAGATTAAAGTCGAATCCTCGAGACTTATCTAACAGCACTAAATCGCTAAACGACCATCTAGAGGACTCCATGTCCTGGAAGAAATGCAAGTATTTGACACCCGAGACCAGACAATTGAAGAGACAACGACAACCAAGCAACCAACCAGACGTGGTACCATTACCACCCACGGAGAACACTTGTCAGCATCCGAAACCTCCACAGCGTATGAAAGACGTAAAATTATCATCGAATTCTCTGTCAAAAAACGGCTGGGACAGGAGCCCTGCCGAAGCGGGTGACCCTACGACCAGCAACGGTGCTCCTGTCCCCAGCAACTCTAATGTAGGGAACACTGACTGTTCCTATTCTTCTAAGCCTCAAATGCAGCTCGAAGGCTCGATGACAAAGTGTAGACACCAATTACAGGGCCAGGTCAGAAGCAATTCAGCGCATGAGAAGCTGAAGTCCAATCTTCCAACAGCGTGGAACAATTCGCGCTGTCAGAAAGATAGAAGGAAGTCTCTCGATCGATGTCAAGGGAAAGACTGTCAGAGGAAACACAGCGAACCTTCCCTAGCTTCTACGTGTAAGAAGCATTTGACAAAATTCCCCAGAGGCTGCGAATCCGGAAATTCTTCGAGCCAATTGCCCGGATACCAACAACCACGTGCGAAGGTAGAAGATAGCGGGTACTTGAGTAGCACCGACAGCAATGGTTCGCACAAGCAACTGCTCAAACACGAAGTGAGCAGCGTCTCTGAAACTGACGAGACCGAATCCGTCTGTGACGGAGCAAGCGAGAGCGGCGCCGAAAGCGTTGGGACAGACAGCGTTTTCTTTGGCAACTTCCGTAGACTCACGGACATGTCCAACTTCTCGAAGAGCATCGACTCGGGTGTGGGAATTGAAACGAAGAATACATATGTTCAACCGTTTTGTATCAGAAATGAGAATGGAGGTTTAGAGAGAGCGAACTTCAGCACCAGCGATAGCGAGACTGAAAGCTTCATCACGGTTCTTCCTCTGTGTAGACCTAGGGAATCGATTTAATTGTACAAGTTCTGTGTTTCCATCTTAAAATCCTATTAGCGAGGAATTGATTAGAACGAATTGTTGCAATTGCGACGATACGTAATCGTAAAATCTTTATGCTTTCTATTTCTCAAAGGCTACATAGTAAAATGAAACTTAAAAATGCAGTATTAAGTACGTTCGGAATGAGTAAAAATCAAAATTGAATTGCCAGCTACTCTTCGATAGAGATTTTCACAAGTGGCAATACGAATCCCATTACAATGAGACACGTATTATTTCTTTTTATTTTCTAATCATGCGTTTAAGGCCAGTATATCCATGTCCATTCTACTGCTTCATAACAGCTACCTATATTTTATTTGTTAGAGGAATTTTTAACTTTTAAGTAAAGACCGAAGTAAAAGATTCTTTAATTTGTAAACTTATCTCTTTTACCTATCTTTATTAGTTTTGATTGTAGAAATTCATTTTCGCGATACGAAAACGATTATGCATACACTTTTTCTTTTTTTTCTTTTTAATTAATCAATTAAACGCAAAACACAAACGTGTTTAAGAGTTCGCTAAACGGGTAAATGTACAGTTCAGTTGATGATATTAAGTGTGAGTAAAGCGTGGAAATAATCTACTTTGCATTTATCAGTTTACTGACTTCTAATGTATTTATATCGTGTACTATAAGATGGGATGTCAAATTTAAAAAGGAAAAACATCGATTTAATCCTTTATTTTATATTCCATTTAGAAGAAGAAAGCAATTATGCAATTATTTTAGAGAAACGGAAATATTGCAGTCGTCGATGCGTAAAGATTGCCATCGTAATTTAACTTAATATTAAAATAATTTAATATTAAAATGGCCGGAAGTGCAATATTACCTGATACAGATATAATAGATAATTGTTAAAAGGATTAGTAATATTTTGTTTAAAATATCACATAAATACTACAACTTTCATTGCTAGTCGATGTGATAAAAAATTTCCTAAAGAAACAAAAAAAAATTTTGTTTTTAAATGGTATATGAAAAATTTGTTATAACATAAGTATGAAATTACACAATAACATACAATTGTTTCATTTTTACATCAGTATATAGTTATTCGATCTTAAATTTAATCTTATTTTATCAATTAATAAGTTGATTACTGTTATTTTTCATGATAGTCACTAAGAAGAAAAGAGGTTAAAACAACACATTGTATTTATTGATTAAGCTAGACATCGGCCACTCAGTGTTTCATATTTTATTTACTTGCAACTTCATCCTCACTGTTGGCTTTATTGTTGCAAAATATTACGCTTTATTCAATAATGACATATATCTCCAAATATAGTTAACTATATTTGTTACTACCAACATCGATTTCGACATATTTTCATTTTTATATATTTTATATTTATGTCAGTATGATATATCTTAATATATTCTTTCGTTATTTCATTAATTTATTATAGTTCTATATATTTGTGTGCGAGGGTAAAAAATAGTTAAACTAATAGGAAAGAAATTGTAATGATTGTTATCTTTTAGAATTTACAAATTTTAATAAGAATCCTCGTACCTCGTCTCTCGTAATAAAATGGTTTTTCATATCAGAAGCGCACGCTTCAATGTACCTGCCAAATGTACATAAAATAGATTTTAATATATTCAACATTTATAACGCCACAATATAGCGGTTTTAATATATCTTATACAAAGTGAGGAATACTATGCATTCTATCATTATACTATTATAAACATTATATGGGAAAATTTATTTAACAAAGATATACATACGTATAGAAATTATGCGATTTAATCGATTATATCGAATGTTTTTACTGACTACCTCTAATCCACAGCTGAATAATTTTCCGTAAAAGTAAGCTGCATACGATACGGAATAATTTCCAAAGTAAATGTGCGTAATCGGTTCTGTGACTGACACGATAGAGAAATGTACGTAAGAAAAGAAACAATCAGTACAGCATAATTCGTCGAAAATGATTATATATTTATAAAAATTCGACGATTACGAATATCCTGTATTATATCAATTCCGAAATTATAGATGTTACATACAATTCATCGAAGTATATGATAAGAGCATAAAATTAAGTCAATTAATAATTGCAATGTAACGTGAATAAATTTGGGATTGAGAAACAAATTTTTAATATTCTCTCCCATGAATTCGGGGAATATGGTGTTGGCAGGGTTTTAAGATTCTAACATAACAAGATGCGTGAATAATAAGCCACTAAAAGACTATGTATGAACACATAAAATGTAAATTCTGTTGATCACTATGTAACTATAGGTAAATTGTTAAACAGCGAAGAATGTACTGTGATTTACAGAGAATATGCGTTAGCCTATGAAAATTTATATTTATACAAAAATGTCAAATAACAAATAAAAAAAAATGGAAATAAATTAAAGATTACATGTTCTTACATATTTATTTACATTTACATATAAAATACAACTTACTATACACTTTCATAAAAATAAACCCTATAACAATATAGAATTGTGTAAATTTTTAAGAAATTTCTCTTTAGTTGAAATATTCATTCTTGTCAGATTTATCATCTGTATGTATTGATGATTTGTTCAACATTCTTAAAACTAAATCTATTAAATCATTTTTGAATGATTTAACGAAGTATAATCTGTCTTTATAATCATCTGTACCTTCATATTTAATTATAAAATTTACAATATTCCATAAAATACTTCGAAATTTTATTAGCAACTTTGCAGATCTGAAATAGAACAATATGTAAAATGAATGCTAAATTCATCGCAAATTAATAAAAAATAAAGATAGGAATACAAACTCTTCTTCACAAATTAAATTTAAATTGTTTATATCTTTTAGTTGCATAACAATATTTCTGTCCTTAATAAAAAGTTTATCTGTCATCTGAAAAGGAAATAATGTTTAATATCTTCTAAATGTATTTTAACGTTTATCTATAAAATATATACATACTTCTGTGCAATAAACATCACCTTGACTAAATAATAAAACTGATAACGGTGATATAACGCTTGTATCACACACCATGGTAGAATGTCTTATAGCATACTCCATTTTATTAAGGTAAGTTAATAACTCATTTGGTTGTAGTGTTCTATCAGAATTAATACTTTCACTTTTAATCTTAACAATCTTTTCATGTCTGTAAAGCAATAAACTATATTAATTTTAACTCTGAATGTTGTGATTATATGAATTTTTTTTTAAGAAATGTACTAACTCATCCAATAAAATGTTTGCTTTCTTTGTAAAATATCCACTTTTAATACCATATGCATTATTTTTTATCAAATGACATGTAGCAGCAAATAAAACTGCTCCAATTAATTCATTATTTTTCGTATGCAGATTCACACTCTCAATATTAAATATCGATGAAATCATTTTACTCTTCACAAGCTCGTTTAAATGTAACTCATACAATTCTACAAATAAATAATCATTAGTTCCAATGTTAAATATCAAATATATCTTTAAATATATAATAAACTTACGTTGTAACTTTGGCTCATTACTATTCTCAAATGTAATAAATGTATGACTTTGACCTATATTACATTTATTTTCAAGATATTTTAATGTAGCTATATGATCACTTGTCTTATGATATTCCTTTTTGTTGCTCCTTACACCTGTATATAGATTTAATTCTTCATCTAATGCAACATTATTGTATTCCTGACTAGAAAATATAACAGCTAATAGTAATATGGGATTTAAACACCTGAAAAGATCAAATCAACTTTATAACTAGAAATACAATTTCTGGAAAATATAAAGGTAGTGAAAAAGGTAGATAATATGTAAATAATCTAAAAAACATGAAATAATAAGAACTTTTATTGGTTATATGTATTTTTACATACCCAAAAACACAAGACAATACTACTGCTTTGCTCAGTTTCAGGTTAAGTGTCATATGTGAAATACGTTTTCCTAAACTAGTAAGGTCTTCATTCTCATCGAGAATACCGAAATTTATTAAGTTATTTACAGCATATCTTAATGAAGTATTACTTGGAGGTTCAATCATACCACTAAAGAAATCATATATGTTCTCCTTAGTCATTGTTTTACAACAAATAATTACTTTATCTAATTCGCTTTTAAGTAGCTCTGGTATTGGATATAACTTTAGTTTATCATATTCTTTTCGAGTAAGCAAATGATAACTTTCACCAGGTTTCAGACGTCCAGCTCTTCCTTTCCTAAATATTAATAAAACATGTATTCCAATGTTTCCTTTCTCTTTAAAATATAATTGCAAACGTGTATATGAAACGAAAGTTACCTCTGAAGAATGTTGGCTTGTGATATTCTACTGTATTGCAAAGTAGATATAGATTTCACTTTATCCCAGTACTGATCTCTCTTAATAGCGGTATCTATAACATAACTTATATCTGGAATAGTAATACCAGTTTCAACTATATCTGTAGCTAGTACAATCTTTGTAGTATTAGCAGGGGCATTTTTGAAAACTTCTTGTTGCATGTTAAATGATAACTTAGAATGAAGTGGTAATATTAATAAATTGGTATTATTCATTGTTCTACTTTCAAGAATATTACGCAACTGGGTAATTTCTTTCCAACCTGGGACAAAACATAAAATGCCTCCAGGTAATTTCTTTGTAATAATTAATTGTATTAAATCTACTATTTTATCATAATAAATATTTGTTTTCATAGCATTTTCCAAATTCATTGATTTTTCAAATGGAAGATCTATATCGTCCAAAAAATGCATTTTTACATCATACAATTTTCCAGGAACATTAATAACTGGGCAAGAAAAGTATTGTTGGAATATTTTTACATTTATACTAGCAGACATAATTATAAGTTTCAGATGTGGATTATCTTTTAGTCTGTCTTTAAATAACTTCAATAATATATCAATCTCTATACTTCTTTCATGAGCTTCATCTATGATTATGTGTGATACTCCTTCCAAGCTATTATTACAGTTAAATCTTTGCAATAGTATACCATTTGTACAAAATAAAATTGATCCACATATTTTTGGTATTTTACTAGTAAATCGAATTTGAAAACCAACTGTAGTTCCTAGCAATTCTTGTCTTTGATGTGCAATATAACGGGCCAAAGAAACAGCTGATATTCTACGAGGTTGTGTCACAATTATATTACATTCATGTATTCTATCTTCTCCTACATATGAATCTAATATAAACTGTGGAATTTGAGTACTTTTGCCACAACCAGTGTCTCCTTTAATCACTAAAACTTGGTTATTTTGTAAGCTATTAAGAATCTCTTTCCTAAAAAGAATCTTTTAATAACTAATAGTTTAATAATAAATTTTATATACAAAGGAATATATTTATGTTATATACTTTCTAATATATAATATACATACTTATAGTTATTAACAGGCAAATCTGTTTGTTCTTTGTCTCTTTTTTTTAATTTTAATGTATGTCTATTTCTTCCCAACACCTTAACGTTTGAAAAATTATCTTTTAATTCATTTTTTAAATCATATTCATTAAGTTCACTACTTAATGCTGCTATTCTAGATTTTACGACCTACAAATAATTATTATTTATAAACATTAAACATATACTTTTATTTCTGTTTTATATTTGTTAAACATATATTTGTAAATCTTACATCATTATAGTACTGAATCAAAATTTCCATTTCAGCTTTTATATCTGGTGTAATATTAATCTTGACATACTCTTGAGAATATAACATATCCTGTATAGTTTCATTATCATATAATACTGGTCTTAAATTTTTAACTTTCTCCAATTTGTATAACCAATGTAAGCATAATATTGATGCATTATGCATCGCTTGTTTTTTAGAAGGTGCTATGGCAGAAAAAGATGCTTCATATGGCCATGTGACACAAATGGTACAATTAAATCCATCTACGCATTTATAATTATATGATATGCAATGTTTATTATATTCACTATTGACATAATTATAAATAAGAAGAAGATCTTTTGTAGGATATACATGTAATTTCTTAATTCCTGAAATTTATCATATAAAAATAAATATTATACAATATACTTTCTATATCATTAATTAACATAACTAAATTAATATTAATCTGCTAAACTTACGATCTTTTATAGTCATAAAATCAGAAGAGTTTGGTTGTGTTGCACTATATATTTTATCTTCCTATTGAAATAATTTTAGATATTATTATTAGTATATATGAAAATAATATTCATAATATTGTATTATCTAATTTATTTGTTTTTTATAATATAAAAACCTTATATACAACTTACATTATAAAATGTACTAAATTGTGCATTAATTTTTAATTCTTCTTTGTAACAAAAAAATATTTGGTGTTTATAAAACCAATGTGATTTACACGTTTTCTTCATACAACCTACTGTTAAACTGTTTAATAAAAATATTAAAATTATATGCTTTTAATTATTATTTTTACATGTTTAATACAACTCGTGTGACAATTACTTACTGCCTCCATAACAATCCCTTCAAATTAATTATACCACGGGATGATAACATTATTATTTTACCACAATGTTATTAATATTATTAAACTACTGATTCTATACTTCATCTCTGTTAGTATGATTTAACTTACGTTTAAAAGATTGAACTCATTATATATTATATCTTCATCGAGTTAATAAATAATGAAATTTAAAATTGTAGTTAATATTTTTAAAAAACATGTTTTGTAGCGTATACGTGTTTAAATTATATTTATAAAAATTTCAGAAAGTATATAAATATAAATATTTCGAAACATATGAGTTTCCTATCTAGATAATATATATAGTTTCAGATAAATGCCACGTCTATGGTGAATCGGTTGTAATCCGTTTACCGGTTAGTTATTAGTGTTAATCATCAGTGAGCTAGAAAAAATTTTTACAACAAAAATATGATTAGTCGTAGTCCAGTTACATTACTATGGAATATCGCATTACTTTTTGGATTATATGTCCAATCTTTCGTTGTTGCCAACACTATTGATCCTGACTTGAATTTTAAAAATGTGGAAAAACATATCGATTTGCAATCTCAGTTAACAAAAATTACATCTAGGCTTGTTTTAGAAAACATTGGTAAAGATCGACACATACGAAATTTTCTTTTTTCACTGGAACCTGAACAAAAGAATAATCTTGGTTACATAGCAGCTTACAGAGAACCTGTACGAGTTGAACTAAAATTAACCGAAGTTAAGGTAAATGAATATTCAGATAAAACTTTCTACCGAATTGAGTTAAAAGACCCACTATCGCCTGGGAGAACTATGTCAATTGAAATTGAATGGATATTAACACATGAGCTTACACCTCATCCAAAAGAGATTACACAAAAAGAAAAACAATTAGTAAAATATATAGGAAATATTTACCTTTATGTACCATATACTATAATGAAACAAACAACTACAATATCTTTACCATCACGTAATATTGAAAGTTATACTAAATTTAAACCTGTTTCACAGAGTGATTCAGTAATCACTTATGGTCCATACGAAAAAATTTCACCATTTTCTTATGAGGAATTAACCATACATTTTGAAAACAATAATAAATTTCTTACTGTTACCAGACTTGAAAGAAGTATTGAAATATCACATTGGGGTAATATAGCAATAGAAGAACATATTGATTTATTACATACTGGAGCATTATTAAAAGGCTCATTTTCTCGATATGAATTTGCTAGAGAACCAAAATCAGGGCAAGCTAGTATTCAAAGTTTTGATACCATTTTACCTGCAGCTGCTGCTGATATTTATTACAGAGATGAAATTGGTAATATTTCAACATCACATACTCGTATTAAGAAAGATTCAGTAGAATTAAACCTTCGTCCAAGATTTCCACTCTTTGGTGGTTGGAAAACTAAATACATAATTGGATATAATGTACCTAGTTATGAATATTTATTCCATTCTGGAGATTTGTATACTTTAGAAATGAGATTACTGGATCATGTTTTTGATGATATGGTTGTAGATGAATTAATTGTAAAGATTATTTTGCCAGAAGGGTCTAAGAATATTGAACTGAACCTTCCATATCCTGCAACACGTTTGTCAGATTCTCTTCATTACACATATTTAGATACTACTGGTCGTCCAGTAATATCTGTTACCAAAAACAATTTAGTTGAAAATCATATTCAGAATTTTAAACTAAAATATACGTTTCCACGTATATTAATGTTACAAGAGCCATTGCTGGTAGCTGCAGCTTTGTATTTACTATTTTTATTAGTAATTACTTATGTAAGACTTGATTTTTCAATTGATAAAGATGAGGTTTCAGAAAGTAAATTAAGAATTGCTGGACAATGTGAGAAGATCTTAGCTGCACAAGATCGTAGAATAACTTCTTATAATGAACTAGATGATCAATTGGCATATCTGAAAGCAAATAAAGATGCCAATGCATTCTTATCTGTGGTAAAAAGTATTAATCAAGAATATAAAAGTACAACAAGTTCTATTGCTGAAATTGCACAACGCTTAAAAGGAGAATCAGGAGATGTTTATGATCGTGTTCAAGAATTACAGAAATATGACAGAACTTTGAAAGAATTTTATAATCAGCAACAAGCATTGTATGTAGACAAATTAGTACCAGGCAAAATAGGACGTCAACAATTTGTAGAGGCAGAAGCAGCTATTACAAAGAAGAAAGAAGAATATGTTGAAAAAATAAACTCTATTATAAAGTCTTTACAGTAATACAGTTTTTTTTTTAATACTTTCTGATAAAAAATGTTTAAAAACAAGAAACTGAATAAAAATAATTTAAACAATAGTTTGAAGCTTTTAAATAATTTACTACCAAAAACCTTTCCTTTGCAATGAATTTAAATTTGTAACATATGTGTTATAAATATATATTATTTTATAAATAATATTTATTTAATTATAATATAATTGCGTACTTTAGGTCATTACTTTAACATATTCTTAAAGTACAGTATATAAAAGTATGTACTTGATATTAAAGGTAAAGAATAATATAAAGTATATACTGTGAAAATTATATTAATTTCTATAAAATTTAATTACAAATAAATTTGTTACATATATTAAATGGTAAAAAAATATAATTTCTATTCTCATGGAACGTCAAATATGTATTGAACTCATGTCAGTACACAACGCCGGTTAAATAAGACACCTGCTAACCTTTCAGTTTCTACCGTGTTTGAGAAAACTGTCATTTCACTGATAGATTGAATGATAGGAATTAGAATGAGTAATTTAAGAAAATTTATAGGTAACTAAATTCTTTATTTAGTGCGTGTATTAACATTTCAATGATCGATATTTTTCTACGAATTGGAGTTTTGTGTTATTTTTTTAAATATTTATGGTAAGGTTATAGTCTGACAAATAATATATTCTACTGTTGTTAATTTCAATATAGATATCGGGGCTAATTTGACCGATCCTATGTATCAAGGTATTTATCATGGATCACAAAAGCATCTCCCAGATTTGGATAAAGTTTTAGAACGAAGTTGGAATAACAATATTTCGAAAATTATAATCACTGCCGGTAATATAGAAGAAAGTAAAAAAGCTCTCGAAATAGCTCGAACAGATGGTAAGAAGCTTCTATATAAATATAGCAAAATAAGACATTCATTAAATGTAATTTAGTAGTACTGTCGCGTCTCTCTATCACAGGCAAATATACTTGATAATTTTCAAATTCTCTTTTTATATAAAGATATTGATGTTTTAGAAATAGATACAATGATTTTAGTTCAATTAATATTTTATACACCTTACAGGCTTTCAACTGTGAGGGTAAAGATTTATTGTTATAATATACAGCTACTGTTTGTTTTTATTACTAGACTGATATACAATCATTGCATATGAAGAAACCAGTGAAAGAGAGATGCAATGGTTGCTGTGATACTATTCTCTAACTACAACAACAAAATGCATGTCAATGGAAATATCTAGGTACATACTTTGTCATTATTTTTTTTTAATTCATATATTGATATTTATCTATTCATATATTGATTGTCATATATACATTTCAGAACGGCTATTTTCTACAGTTGGTTGTCATCCAACTCATTGTTATGAATTTGAAGCAAATGGTGATCCAGAAGGCTATCTTAAATCATTATCAGATTTAGCAGCAGACAATAAAGACAAAGTTGTTGCTATTGGTGAAATGGGACTAGATTATGATAGGCTGCAATTTTGTTCTAAAGATATTCAAAAGAAATATTTTGAAATGCAGTTATCCTTATGTTCCACTTTGAAATTACCAATGTTTCTACATTGCCGTAATGCTAGTGAAGATTTTGTAAGAATTTTAAGAAAATACAAAGATACATTAACAGCTGGTGTTGTACACTCTTTTGATGGTAATCCAGAAGAAGCTAATTCCATTCTACAAATGGGGTTATATATTGGTATTAATGGATGGTATGTCATTTATTAAGTAATATATTTATAACACACACAATTAACATGGTTTCCTTTACAGTTCTCTTAAAACAGAAGAGAACCTTTTTGCTGTTACAACTATACCGTTAGATAAGTTGATGATAGAAACTGATTGTCCATGGTGTGAAATAAGACCTACACATGCCTCTGCAAAAGATGTTATTACCAATTTTCAATCCAATAAAAAAGAAAAGTGGCAACCTGATAAAATGGTTAAAGGAAGAAATGAACCATGCACAATAGTGTAAATATATTATGCAATTATTAAAGTCAATTTTGGAATGATTAAATTATGTTTACATTGTATATTTGTTAGAGAACAGATTTTGCTTCTAAAATAAACTCATTGCTTGGTTTCTTTTTTCAGCCAAATTTTGGAAGTACTTGCACGAATTAGAGATGAAGAAGAAGAATATTTATGTAACCAAATATATAAAAATACAATGAAAGTCTTTTTTCCTCATGAGCTCTAACACAGTAATACTCCAAACTGAAATATTAATTTTGTAAACATTGTGCGTTTTAGCATTGCACGCTCATACATATAATCAGGGAAAAATGCTGTGAAACTATACAAAAAAGAAAAAACAATTTCTACTAAATTAATTTCTAAAAAGGAAGGAAATGAAAATACTCATTTTTACATGCATAGTTTTATGGATGTGACAGGTGTCACATTTCAATGATCTTTTTCAATATAAAACTTTAATGTTTCTTTTTGTTAAAATTATCGACACTGTAATCCTCACCATTAGAATTGCACTATTAGCGCTATTATAATTATAATTATAATAATAATTATATTACTATACCCACACACACACGCGCGCGCGCGCGTACACGCGTACACGCACACACCAACATTATTCTACACATTCTATAAATATAATTATTGTTATTCCTATTGCTGTATCCAGCGATATTAACCCTTTGCACTTTGATCTCTTTTAATTTAATCAACAACTCCAGTGCAATGTTGCAGTAGGCAGCCTTTTAAAACCAAAGTTTTGTTTTGAAAAACAAAAAAAAGAAACAAAAATTATAAATTTGTATAAACTTATACTGTAGTGTTCGTGCCTTTTATATCTGTCTCAATGAAAACAAAACCAAATAACAAAATGTAGTTTATTAATGTGCCCAAAATGATATCAGTGGAGTGCAAAGTGTTAAATTAATGTTCTACATGTACTGTAAAGTTAACATATTCTATACTCCTCTTTTAATTTTGTAAAAAGAAAAGATACCAAAAAGTAACTTTAATATACTGTTCAATTTATAAATCATTATAATTATAATTATAATAATTATTATATTACTATACCCACACACACACGCGCGCGCGCGCGTACACGCGTACACGCACACACCAACATTATTCTACACATTCTATAAATATAATTATTGTTATTCCTATTGCTGTATCCAGCGATATTAACCCTTTGCACTTTGATCTCTTTTAATTTAATCAACAACTCCAGTGCAATGTTGCAGTAGGCAGCCTTTTAAAACCAAAGTTTTGTTTTGAAAAACAAAAAAAAGAAACAAAAATTATAAATTTGTATAAACTTATACTGTAGTGTTCGTGCCTTTTATATCTGTCTCAATGAAAACAAAACCAAATAACAAAATGTAGTTTATTAATGTGCCCAAAATGATATCAGTGGAGTGCAAAGTGTTAAATTAATGTTCTACATGTACTGTAAAGTTAACATATTCTATACTCCTCTTTTAATTTTGTAAAAAGAAAAGATACCAAAAAGTAACTTTAATATACTGTTCAATTTATAAATCATATTTGTCATAATATCATTAAATACCATATGAGAAACATTAAATGAAAATATATTAGTCATACAAAATAAGAAATTTGAAGTTTGGTACTACATACTGTAGTCTATATATTACTTTAATAATTATTTTGACAATAGATATTAACTTAAAAAAGAAAGTAACATTCTCAGATTTGTGGGTTATTAAAATGTCATAATCAATCGGAGTATGATACATTTTTCAAATATCACAGGTAAAATGGCCGTCACAATATATTTGGAAATGTGTAATATCAACTTCGGAATTATAGAACTAAATGCAGAGGTATGAGGAGATTTTTTTTATCACCGAGTAATATCGGTACATAACATTTGATGAATTTTATTCATGGAACTTTAGAAAGTGTTTGCACCTTTTCATAAACCCAATCGTAAGTTTGACTTGCCAATGTCTGTGCAGTATCAATAGTTTTTGAGGCATAATTTTGCAAACTTTCTGGGCTTAATTTTCCACTAAAAGAATAATATCATAAAACAATTGTTTATACTTCCAAAATTTTTATACTTACACAAAAACATTATGTTGTAGCCACTGAAGTGTTGCAGTTGAGCGTTCATTTAGCTTTTCTACACATAAGTTCAAATACATTTTCAAGAATTCCAAACCTTGATAACTTAGTAATTTAATTTCGTCCAGTATTTCAGGAACATAATGATCTACCTATAAAATATACAAAATATTTGTTATATGTACTTACATACATGTCTTGTCTATTAAAATTATTAATGCTTACTGTTTGTACAAAGAGAGGGCCATTCTTTCTGTTGTATTTTGCAATATTATCATAAATTTCAAAAAATATATTTTTCATTACAAGATAACCATCTCCAGCCAATTTCACATAAGGTTTACATGTTTCAACAGTTGCTTTATAATACTCTGGTGATGTAGCTTCTATAAACTCAAGTGTTTTCAATGAATATTCTTGTACCAGAATCCATGACTGTTGCCCATAAGTAAATAATCCACTTCTTTTTAAGAACTTATTTGTATTGGTTGCTGGGAAGTTACATTATTAATATGAAAGTTAACATGATTAAATATTTTAAATGAAATAAATTTTTGCCCATCCCTTACCTTTAAAATTGTCATATTTGTAAATATCATAACCAATAATGGCACCAATAAAAAGTAATAACAAAATAATTCCCTTTTTCCAAGGAAATTTCTTATTGGTAGAAGCTGTCATTTTCAGCAATAATGCCTGTAATAAAAAATTGGTGAAACACTATATCGTTGTACCAAATTACTTATCACCTAAAACATTTATAATGTTTCCATTAAAAAGTCTAAAGGTCAATGCAAATATCAGGAAAACAATCGTGTTACAGATGTATAGAAACGAATTATACACTTTTGATTTGTAAGTATATACTTTTAATCCAGAGAGTTAATGAAGAAATTAAAATGTTTATTAAATTATTTATCCTAAAATATATCTTTTTATTAAAAAAAGTGTTGCACAATGAATGATATTAATGTCGTCAGCAGTGATGTCAAAGGGACAATGTGCGATCGATAGTCTCCTCCCAAAAAAAAACAAATTTACCTTACCTTACCAAACTAACCTAGACTATATTTGAGAACCGAATTTCTTGAAATTATTCAAATATTACACACACAATTTTACAAAATATAGGTAAGTTTTGGTGAATATATATCTTATTACTAAATAATTATATTGATATTCAAACTCGTTTTTTTATATGCAAACGATATTAACAAACCACATTTATATCTTATGTACTATTCTGACATTACATGCTTTTGCGCATATGCAAGAAATAGAACGTACAGCAAGCAGGTGTTACGCGGGTATTTTCAAAAGGCTTTCGATATAAAGAATATATACAATGATAAAATAATTATTCATTTTTTGCGATATTTTAATTTTTATAATAAAGTGTTATTTTTGCATAAATATTGAATATAAATACATATTTAATATAGGAACAGAAATTCAAATTTACCTTACATATTTTAGTGCAATTATTAGCAAGACCTTCATCTTTACCCTTCTTCCACCTTTCATTAGTTGTCTGAAATACTATACATGTCTCCTTCAAACATTTTGTTTCTAATATTGTATGTAAAACATGCCATTTAGTATCTATAGAAAATTAGATGGATCTAAATTTAGTAAATTATCTGTAATAATCATTAATTAATCTGTAATGCCACAATAGTATAATCTTACCAATATATGTTAAAATTAAATAAGATTGGTATAAATTTTTGGCATAAATAGACTTCCAAACAGAAAAACAATGTGGATCTGTGGCTAAACAAGTCACAAGTGCTTTGATTAACTCATCTCTATAGTTTACATGTATCTTTTGTGTAACCTTTGTAATTAGCATTTCAAACAGTTTAGCATAATTTATATTTTTATTTTTAAATAATATTGACTGAAAAGAATAAACATAAAAAAGAATAAAGAAAATTTTACTTAATCATTTTAAAGTAGTGTTTTGCATTAATAATATTTTGATACCTACCCTTAATTTTTCAATGCTATTATTAATTTCTCTACCTACAAAGGCAGGAACATTCAATTTCCCAGAATATATATCTTCTACAATGTCAAGATACAGTTCTGGTTGAAGATCATTAAAGGTTTCATGTCCAAACACAAAATCATTTAAAATTTGTGCTACATAACTACAGTAACTCTTTATCTCTAACATGGGAGACATTACTTCATGCCATACTTTTAAACCCATTGCTAAGTTTTTCCTACCAGCTTGTGATATTGCCCATAATAAAGAGAGGCCAATATTTTTCCTATTTTGATAAGAATTTTTTACACGAATCAGTTTAGAAATATTAGCAATTATTATTCCAGAATTAATACGTGCTAATAGTTGCAAAAATATTTTGTGACCAATAGCAGGTGATCCTTTAACCATATCAATAGCCATTGTAGTAAGAGTATTTTCATAAAAAAGTTCTGCTGTTTGTTTTCCTGCCATATCAATAGCTTTTTCTAATATGGAAGAAATTGATTTAGGTACTATACTTAATGGATAGTCTTTAGGTTTTCCAGAAAAGACTGCATCTTCTTTATCAACAGGTATTTTTACATTGAGAAAAGCAGCAAGATCTTTCAACCAAATTATTGGAACTTCAGGAAATCTGGTTTGACTATTAGTGAAAACATCATGAAGCTCTTCTGGATTAATCTGTTAGAAATAATATTTCAGTTTAGTTAAGGCCATGTACAAGTTATGTAAAAAGCAAATTTAGAAGATAAAATATTTATGTACCATATTTAATGCGTCTCTTATAGATTTTGGAGGTTTCTCCTTAAGTTCATGCTTCTTTTTCTCTGATTGTTGTTGTCTGTGTTGTTTTTTTCTTTCTTCATTTTCTTTTGTTTTATTTTCTTTGTCCTTTGATGGCTTTTTATTTTCTTTATTATTATCCAAATTGTCATATAAAGTTTTTACTTGACTCAATGGAACTGAAAAAAGTAATTCCTTAACAGAAATATTTTATGTATATATTTTATGTATATAATGTATGTTTTACTTGAGTAAAAGTATTTATAAATTCAAAATATTTTTCTTAACAGATAAAGTACTAAATAAAAAAAACAGTAAAAACTAACAAAAGTTAAAAAAAAGCGCTTACGAAAATCTTCTACTTTCGGTGCATTTTCGATAAATTTCTTTTTTTCAGCCTTTGTAAGTTTATTAATCTTTCCATTGCTTTTATCTTTTTTATTTCTTCCAACCAATTCCCAACCTCCGGACGACATAATGTAATAAATGCAATAAACAAATGGACAACAAACAATAATATCAAAAGGCACTAAAGTGTTTGTTGGCAGTTGTGTTGGCCAAATATTGTACGTGGTCGCGCATGCGTAGTAAAATACCACGCCCTATTATATGAAATAATTTTCCTAATCTTTTTGTAGAAAAATAATTAAGTATAATAATATAATGTCATATTTATTATAAATAATATGAATATTTACAAAATTTTAACTAATTTATCATTTGTTATATATTTACTTTAAATTAATCACAATTTATTAAGAATCTTTTACTTTCATCCTTTAATAAATGTTCAAACAATTTTAAACTGTTATTTATATTTCATCTGACCTTATGTATATAATGTATAATATTACATATATAATAGTATAAAATATTTGTATGCTTGCCTCATTTAAACAAAAATTATATGAAAGACCTACTTTCAGAATATTTATATTTTTTATTTTAATTAAAAACGCAGAATTACTAAGTTTAAATAACATACTGTCTTTAAAAATTATTATTACAGTAAATTAAATATAATTAAAGATAAATATAAAATTTATGTAATTAATTCTTTCTTAAATTTTATATCAAATGAAGCATAATTTTCACATTATTTTTAATATTACCATTTTAGAAATGGAAAAGATCGCAGTACTATTAACGTATAAAGTGTTTAGTAATATCCAATACCTATGTCCGTACTTTGTCTATGCTGTAATGCTACAGAAGCAAGAACATTATATGTATATTTGAATAAAGTACTATTTAACTGAATAAAAATAATGTAATAAAACAAGATATTATTTGGTTGAAACATATGTTCCACATCTTATAATAATAAATAGATAATGATTGATATAATAGATCAAAGACTTTTGCTAATTTTTTTAACCTCACTAAATTGACATTTCGTGAAGGATTAACCACTCTTTATTGTTTAAAATTTATTAAGCAAAATGCATTTCAAAAATGAATATCGTAGATCCATAGATGAATACAAATCTGCTGTACCAATAAAAAGAAAAATGGGTTTTTACTGGATTTTGGCAGTCTTGAGGATCATTTTAACACTTATTCCTCAAACGGGGTACATTCACCCAGATGAGTATTTTCAATCTATCGAAGTCATATCTGGTAGGTAAAAAATTATTATCTAAGAATAATCACGATTAATTTATGGTATTCCTTTAATAAATGTTCAAACAATTTTAAACTGTTATTTATATTTCATCTGACCTTATGTATATAATGTATAATATTACATATATAATAGTATAAAATATTTGTATGCTTGCCTCATTTAAACAAAAATTATATGAAAGACCTACTTTCAGAATATTTATATTTTTTATTTTAATTAAAAACGCAGAATTACTAAGTTTAAATAACATACTGTCTTTAAAAATTATTATTACAGTAAATTAAATATAATTAAAGATAAATATAAAATTTATGTAATTAATTCTTTCTTAAATTTTATATCAAATGAAGCATAATTTTCACATTATTTTTAATATTACCATTTTAGAAATGGAAAAGATCGCAGTACTATTAACGTATAAAGTGTTTAGTAATATCCAATACCTATGTCCGTACTTTGTCTATGCTGTAATGCTACAGAAGCAAGAACATTATATGTATATTTGAATAAAGTACTATTTAACTGAATAAAAATAATGTAATAAAACAAGATATTATTTGGTTGAAACATATGTTCCACATCTTATAATAATAAATAGATAATGATTGATATAATAGATCAAAGACTTTTGCTAATTTTTTTAACCTCACTAAATTGACATTTCGTGAAGGATTAACCACTCTTTATTGTTTAAAATTTATTAAGCAAAATGCATTTCAAAAATGAATATCGTAGATCCATAGATGAATACAAATCTGCTGTACCAATAAAAAGAAAAATGGGTTTTTACTGGATTTTGGCAGTCTTGAGGATCATTTTAACACTTATTCCTCAAACGGGGTACATTCACCCAGATGAGTATTTTCAATCTATCGAAGTCATATCTGGTAGGTAAAAAATTATTATCTAAGAATAATCACGATTAATTTATGGTATAAAAAATTTATATTATATTTTCATCTTACAGGTGATCATTTTGATATTGATGTTAATAAACCATGGGAATTCAATTCGACATTTCCCATAAGAACTGTTTTAATACCACAAATTATAGTTGGTATACCATATTCAATTTTAAAGAGACTTTCACAATATACACTTTTCTATTTGGGTGTCTCATTGAAGTCACCATATTTTCTTATATTATTCCCACGTTTATTTATGTGTTGCTTATCTTTTATATCAGATTATTGTTTGTATAAAATCTGTTACATATATGGACAAAATTATAAGATAAGACTGATTATTTATGCCAGTTCCTATATTATGCTTGTTTATGCAACTCATACACTATCAAATACTATTGAACTAGTACTAACAGCCTTATTATTATATTATACATCATGTTCTATGGCATATTCAGAAAAGGTATAAGTATAGCATTATGGTAAAAATTTATAAATCATTTTATAAAATTAGTATGTTTACCATTTCAGGTAGTTGTTCAAAGTGACTATCTATTAGACAAATATAATAAGGCAAAATCTAGAATAGAAGGACTAAAATATTATAAACTCAAAACTTCATTACCTCCACATTCTCTAAATCATTGTACAAAAATTGCAATAATTACTGTAATTGGTATATTCAATAGACCAACTTTTATTGCATTTGCCTTTGCTCCCATCTTCTTTTGGTTGCAAAGAGGTTTAGGTTCAAAATGCATAGGTTTTGGACATTTTCATGTTCGAATATTCACCTTTATTATCTGTGGAATACCCAGCACTGTCTTCTTTATTCTAGTTGATAGTTTTTATTTTGGTTATTTAACAATAGCAGAGATAGGTAATCGTGATATTAGCATGAATAACTTCGTGGTAACGCCACTCAATTTTCTCAGATATAATTCAAATACTAAAAATCTACGGGATCATGGTTTGCATCCTCATTATTTACATTTTATAGTAAATGTACCACTTTTATATAATGTTCTTGGAATAATTGGCCTTCATACATTTGGCAAAATGTTATACAGGTAAATATTTTAATAATATCATCTATGTTGCATGAAAAATTTGAAATACAAAATAATTAACATAAGATAATTACTATTTACAGTGGTTTAAAAGCACAGTGGTTAAATTTGCCACGGATACAAAGTGTTGTTGGTTTAATGATGATATCCTTTATTACACCTATTATATTATTATCAATATTTCCTCATCAAGAGCCTAGGTTTATTATACCAACATTATTACCTTTAGCTTTCTTGTATGCACCAAATATAAATCAAACTTCAGGAGTTGACACTATCGCGTGTATTGCGAAAAATAACGAATGTCGAAATACTTTCCCAACAAGAAATAGAATGACTAAACTGCAGATCTTTTGGTTCATATGTAATATTGCATTAACGTTTTTCTACGGATTTGCTCATCAAGGTGGAGTTCTACCTTTATCATCTCATATAGCAACTGAACTAAAAGCAAAACCAGATCTTACACATATACATCTATATACGTCACACACTTATTCTATACCAACAGCTCTCCTACACTTAAGAAATACCAAAAAGACATATGTAAGTAGTGAAAATCATAGATATAAATTGTTAAAAGATTTTTACCTTTATGAAGAAGGTTCAAAATCCATAAGAGATGTGTGTAGCATTATTTCTTTGAAACTTCGTGAATGTGAATATAAATACATTACAAAAAAAGTACCATATAGATTATACTATGCTCTTCCTGCTACAGATTTGGAAGAGTTCATATTTATCTTAAATAGTACAAATTTATTCAATTATCATATTGCCAATAGGTTTTATCCACATGTTACAGTTGAAAAATTGCCTTTTTCAAAAGTAATTAAAAATATTATATATTTGACAAATTTAACAACATTTTCAATCGAAAAATTGACTAAGATTATGGATAATATATTTGAAGCTTTCCAACAGTTTCAATTACTATTACTACGAATTGAATACTTAGCAGATAACAAACATAAAAATGTACATATATTATGGAAGGAATTACTATGATTTATAATAACCTTTTAATTTAATTATTTAATTAACATAATATATATTTATTATCTTTTTTTCACTATTGTAGTTACATTTGTTACTGCAATAATGTAAAAATATTAGATTGTTTTATATAATACAAAAACATTTATAACTTCTAACTAATTATTAAAAAACGATATTACTTTTAAGACCTTTTGAGATCACTAAATTAAGATTCATCAATTAAGATTTATAAATTTGTATTATACACACACATATATATAATTAATTAAAATACATGTAATTTATTACAATAAAAGCCGAATTGTACGTGCGCGCGCGCGTCTGTGTGACATAATACATGTATATATGTACAAGAATTATCCCAAAGAAATAATTTTGTAGAATTTATTTCATTTATACGTGTTATAATTTACAATTTCACTTTGAATAAAAGTATTTAATTATGCTTCAACTTATTATTCATTTAATAATTATTATCCTATATAGAAAAATAGGATACAAAATTATTGAAATTTAGTATTTTTAGCTTCATAGAGTATACTATTAATAAGAACAAGTTATTACAAAATAATTTGATTATTTGAAAATTAAAATAATTATACTTTTACTACTTGTTATTTACTTCTTAAAAAGATAGCATTAATTAAAACAATTATGCTGTAAAATAGATAGAAGCCATATTATTTTCCATTTATGTCAGCAATTTATCTAAACATAATATAGAAATAAATATATCTATTGTATAGATTTGCAGATATTATGAAAAACATAGTTTTAATTATTCATTTCCTTTTAATATATTTTTATTTTAATTGTCATTATATGTCCATGGTAATTCCTCATTAAATTTACTTTGATGTGCAGCATTACGCGCTGCATATAGTCGCTAAAAACAATATTAAATATATTATACAGACAAGATTATATTAAAATGAATATTTTTAAAGGAATTTATAACTTACCGGATTATCTATGTATGCTTCACATTTATAACACCAAACTGATAAGTCACTGAAACTTAGAGCCAACGGATGTTCCATTTCTTCAGCATGTAATACACCATGTTGATTAATATTACGTGCACAATGAACAATATAACACTGTAAACAAACCCAGTTTTCAGTAGTACTTCCACATCTTATACATGGTGAACGTATATCAATTCCGGAAACTGGCACATCTCTGATATTGTCCAGATGTGGACATTCTCGTAAATGTATTACCGCAAACATGTTTCCGACTACTAATGCCTGTAAAATTGAGACGGAATTTTAATTAATGAAGTTAGAACAATTAATTTCAATTAAATTTTTATAATTGTAGTAAGTACTAATTACCTGTAAATTTTCCGAAAAATAATCATATAAATTTCCACTACCACTCGTTTGTGCAATTGCTCTTTCACTCTGTCCAGCACTACTACCAGCGGTAGAACTGGTAATACTTTTATCAGAATTTTGTTTTTTTTCATCTTGATTCATACATTTGTTTATGCATTTGGAAACTATAAGAATAATCCTATGCATTAAATCGTTTTATAAATATATTTTTAACTTGCTATACCTTGGTTGTTATAGGATGTAACATCAGTAAGTTGAGTATTTAATGATTTATAATATGGATTAATTGTTTGTTCAATTAGATCTTCAAGGACTTCTGCATCCACTCTTATGTTTAGCGTCTTCCAAATTGAAAATTTTTTCCGTCTATTTTGCATTTTCTCTGTTTCAATTTCTTCCAGCGCTATTTTAGATTCCGAAAGTTTTGAAAATGTCTCTTGATTTATAACTCGTTCGTTTATTTTTATATGTGGCACTTTCGGCTTAGGAAGTACTTTTTCTTTTGGTAACGATAAATTAAACGCTAAATTTGGCCAATATTGTTTTTGTGTTTTTAAAACATTATTTATGGTGTGAACAGCACTCGTGCATGGTGTTTGTCCACTTTCTAACATCGGTAGAGGATCACCGAGTAAAGATTTCGTACAAATAGTCATTGCGTGTGAAACTGAATTAATATTGTAACCCCCTTCGAGACTAAGAATAACATGACCATTAGCCAAAGAAGATAGCCAATGTGTTAAATGCCCATACATTTCTGGTGTTACAAAGCAGCCTTAAACAAAAAATGAATTGTTTAAATAAATCTTTCATACTAATAGAAAATAGCTACATTACCAAAAGAAATATCTACCTCCCAAAGGATCACCAATACATGCATCAAAACCTGCAGATACCAAGATTAATTCTGGATTAAACTGATAAGCAACTGGCATTATTATTTGTTGAAATGCTGCTATATATTCTGCATCACCCATTCCTTTCTATATAACACAGAAATATATGATGATAATTCTGTTTCATTAATATTGAATTATTTTATAATATACTTTTTAAAATTGACCTTATTCCATGGTATATTAACAGTGAAACCTTCTCCTAATCCAGAACCAATATAAGAGTAATTTGCTCGCTTAGAATTTGGAAAGAAACTACCATTATCATAACGATGAACAGACACATACAAAACTTTGGGATCTTCTTCAAATATAGATTGAGTCCCATTACCATGATGCACATCCCAATCTACTATCAATACTCTAAAAATTATATTACTTTTTACCTTAAGATCTTATGTTGTTAAAAATAAATTAGTTGTAACACCTTTTAACATGATGAAATTCTATAGCATATCTAGCTGCTACAGCGATATTGTTAAAAATACAAAATCCACATGCTGAATCTTCTCCAGCATGGTGCCCTGGAGGTCTCACAATAGCAACACCAGCTTGACTTTCCCCATTTAATACACTATCTACTACTTGTAGTAATGATCCAGTTGATATACATGCACTTGACCAAGTTTCAGGGTGCAAATAAACTGAATTATAAGTTTTTGCCTGTTTTTGTAGCTCTTTAGGTTTTAAATTTTCTGTGTCTTTTATTTTATCAATATATTCTTTTGAATGTACTAATGCTAATTCTTCTATTGTTGCACTTCGTCCCTTTAAAATAATAAATGAAGAAAATATATTTCAAGTAAAAGTTGATGTTAATTTTTTTTAATTTGATGTAATCTTTACATATGATGTGTAAGAGTGTAAAAAGAATAATTTTAACATACCTGTTGCACGTAACATCGATCGAGTAGATTACACTCTTCATATCTTTTATAAATAATATTAATACGATTTGGTTTCTCAGGATGATTATCATCAGATATATCACAATGCTTTAACATTCTATCATCATAAACAATGCACACTTTATTAGATGCTCTAGACAAATTAGTAACTAAAAATTAATTTATAATTATATGATTTGTCATTTTATATTGCATTAATTATTATTATTAAGCTATTAATACTTGAATACTTGCATTGTATTAATGCATTTAATTGTTTCTCTATTATCTCAATAACTTCTTTACTTTGAACTGGATAACAATTTTGAGTTTCATACACTTCTGGCCTAACATCACTTCCTCTAAAAAAAAATAAATAATATTTATACAATCGAAAATAATGATAAAATCCTTGTTAAAAATGATTTAATTTTTTACTTGAATGTAACTATGGGTACATGTTGATTAGTACTTTCTTCTTTATTATTTGTTGTATAATTAATACTATATGTATCTTGATACTGGTAGCACTTCCAATATGATTTATGTACATAAATTGTATTTAAAATTGTATCACGTACACTAAAATTATATCAAATATGTAATTCTAGGTAATAATTTAAATATATTATATTATAGAATTTTCAAACTTACCTCATTGAAGGCAATGCAATTGTTTCTAACATGGGACATGGATCACCTAATAAGGTACGTAATGTTAATGCTGCACTTTCTGCTAATGATTTTAAACAATAACCACCCTATAATGAAAAATATAGTAAAAAAATATTCAATAATCTATAAGTATGTAACAAATATTCTGCATTTTTACCTCCAATATAACAGCAACTTTTCCAGAGGCCAAACTCAATAATGATGATAGTAAATGAGCATAACATGCAGGTGTTACCAACATTTCACCCTCAATGTCAAAGAACAAAAGTAATATTATTATATACAGCTTATTGACACCCACATATGCACACATGAATTTTTTTGTCTCCAATTTAATTCCAAAATAATAACAAGATATGAATTAAACTAAGATAAAAAAAATTAATAAATAATATTTATTCCTTTACCTCTGGACAACCCAAGGCTGCATCATAACCAGCTGACACTATTACAAAATCTGGTTGAAACTATAATAATTAAAATTGGCGTATATTAAATCATATTTAAAATTCATGTTAATATTTTATAAAGTATTCTAATAAAAGGATTAATAAATATTGTATTATTTTAATTAAATTGCATTAATATGCTATTTACCTCATAGGCCATTGGCAACAAAACTTGCTGGAATATAGCTAAATAATCAGCATTGGTCATACCCGTTTTATTAAGTGGCACATTAAAATTATATCCTTCTCCTAAGTCATCACCAATAAAATGAAAATTAGATTCTCTAAGATTTGGCCAAAATTCGCCATTTTCATAACGATGAATGGAAAAATAAATTACTCTGTATAAAAGTTATAAATAATAGAAAAATTCATTCTAAAAGATATTCCAAGAAAAGTATAAAGATATATTATATGAGATATAGTAGATACCGTGGGTCATTGTAAAACATTTGTTGAGTAGCTTGTCCATGATGTACATCCCAATCAACAATTAAAATTTTGCTAGTTAAATTAGTGCTTAGGACTTTTTCAGCAGCAATTGCAACATTATTAAAAAAACAGTATCCACAATATTCAGACGTCATAGCATGATGTCCTGGTGGTCTGGAATATATTAAAAAGTGAAAAAATGAATACAAATATTTTTTTTCAATAGAATTACTTCTTTACACACACACGCACACAAACAAAAACAAACAAACAAACAAACATATTACCTTATAATAGCCATACCATTCTGAATTTCTCCTTTACAAATACTTTCCACTAAATTTATTGTTGAACCCACAGCTAACAATGACAACTGATAGGTAGACTAGAGTAATTTAAAATAAACTAATATTTAAATTTGACAATTTAAAATAACATCTTATTATCTTTATATTTTATATTTAATGAATATACATACTGGATGTATATAAATGGCATCGTACTTTGATGACAATAATTCTAAACTATCTGCATTGGTACATCTATCAGTAGCTTTTAAAATATTTATCTGTTCTTGACTGTGCTTCATGAGTACTTCATTTTCTGAGGCTAATCTTGGTGTGATAAACTTACACCTATTTATTAAACCTAATTCCTCACATCTCTTTAAAATTTGTATCAATCTAGCAGGACATTCTGGATAATTTGGATCCCAAAGACATTTATGTTCTGTCATAGAACGATCAAATACAATGCCAGTTTCCATTCTTTTTATATTGCATGCATCAATAGCTTTTTGATATATATCATGTACAAAAATATTGTTAGACTTTTTTCCTTGTAACATACGTTGTTGTGCTGCTTCACGTTTAGCTGCTACTAAAGCAGCAGATGGTCGAACCTAGTTACATATAACAATTAGTAAATTTATAATTATCACTGAATTATTTTTTCACAAGTTTATATTTACATTAAATACTTTTTCAGGTTTCTTAGCACCTTTTTTGTCTGTCATAGACATAGTGTTTTTAATATTTGATTTCTTTGAGTTTTCAATAGTCTTTATTAGCTGAATTTCACTGTCTGCTAATTGTTTAACAGCAGTAAATAGATCTTTACATATCACAGAATCAGACTATAAAAAATAAAAAAATAGGATGAAGTACATAGATAAAATAAAAATAAAAAATATAAATTTTAATAAAACAAATATTATAAAAAACGGCAGAATTTTAATTATATATCAAAAGAAGTTTTAATGATATGTCATCATTATCTAGAAATAAAATACTTTGCACAAAAAATTTTAAGTAATTAAACTTCAATTCAAAATACTATTACACATAAAAACAAAAATGATAGATATAAAAGAAAAATAATATGATTAAAGACATTTTACACATACACGATAATTAAAAGTGACAATATTTTATATACTTCAATGAATTACAAAAAATTATCACGGAAAAAATTTAAGTGTTGTCACTCAATATACAGATAACGATATAAGACATATCCTTGTATAGCTATCAGTATCCCTTCCACTTTAGTATATTGTCTCATACAATCTATTACCTTTGTTTCATTCATCAACGATACAAATGCGTATGATTAAGAAAATTTATTCTCTTACCATTTGTGTTATTAAATAATCTCGAAATTTGCACTGAAAAATTAAGTTTACTAATTTTTATAGTCGAGTCATACTTAAATGATAAAATATGAATTTTAATAATTAAATAAGATTTATTTTATAAATTGAATATTTTTACTGAGGAAACAATTGTTGCAATTTTATCATTTTTCACTTTCAATTTTGTTTTACCATTTTAGTGATGGATTAAGCATCATTCGTAATTATAAGCAATAGTTAAAATTACAGTGATGCCATCATTTAGTCAAAAATAGAAGCACAAATTGTAAAACTGTCAGTATCATTAAATACAATAAATTGTCGTACATATAACTTCTAACATCTTCTATTATTTTTTAATGAAATTATAATTGTAAACTTATTTTATTTTTTAATTTGAGAATATTTTGTATTTTATTTTTTAATTCAGAATATTTTTTTATTTAATCGAAAATAAAGATACTACACTACAATAAAATTTTATTATTTGTAAAAATAAAAATTGTAATTATTTCTTAACCATAAATTTATGTGATATTTATATATCAACGTATTATCTAAATATAAATCTTAATTACACGTTTTAGCATTGCAGAGAGCAAATTAATATTTGGATACTAAGTGTATGAAAGTTCTTTGAATTATGTTTTGATATTTATTATTTTTTAAATGAACATTATAATTTCTATTTGTGTAAATTACTTGAAAAAATGATTCACTTATTGAAGAAACAATTTTACAAAAATTGTAAAAGATATAGAAATGTTAATACATGGTCACCTCTAGCAACAGCATTTAATTCCATTAATAAAGAGACATATGGGTTTGATTTCTCGAAGAAGAAAACTGTAAGTAATACTTATTTTTTGAAAATATTTGTAATTATTTTATACATTATAATAAGTTATAAAATTTTTCCATGTGTTACAGGGATTATTTGGAATATTTGAATTGAAAACATCAGATGGATTTAATGTTTTAAAAGATCAAGCAATATCTCAAACAAATGCACTTATAGCAGAATCTATCAATCAAAATAGGAAACGAAAAATGGTAGAAATCTTCGATGAAATGTCTGATACATTATGTAAAGTTGCAGATTTGGCAGAGTTTATTAGAATTGCTCATCCAGAAAAACAGTTTGTTACAGCAGCAGAAGATGCTTGTCTATTTATTAGTAGTATTGTAGAGAAGTAATTATTTCTTTGTAAATATTAAACAATTAACCATTATTTATATTATCTATACGAAGTAGCATAAAAATTACTTAAAAATTTGTTTAGATTAAACACACATCGTGAATTATACCATGCCTTAAAGCATGTGGTACATAATGGAGATATTCAAGAAACATCTGTGGTGGATAAACATGTTGCAACATTATTCTTGTCCGATTTTGAATTATGTGCTATTCATTTACCAGAATCTATAAGGGAAAATGTTGTACAGTTAAATTATTACATATTACAAGTATGTATTTTATTTATCCATATATTAATTTACATATTTATATTAATATTTATAAACTTATTATTTTTTTTAATATAGGTAGGACAAAAATTTATGGCAGGTACTACTAATGCAAGAGCAGTAGATGCTAATATTGTGCCACCTAATATAAGACAATAGTAAGTATTACAATCAAGTAATTTTTGAAATAACATATTTTAAAATATAAGATTTGATAAAAATTTTTTAAGAATGTTTCACAGTTTTACAGAAAAAGATAATAAAGTATATGTTCAAGGACTTTATATAGATTCTTCTAGTTATCTACTTAGAGAAACAGCATATCGTATATTTTTATATCCCGATGACCAACAAGAATATCTTTTACAAGAACTTTTAAACTGTAGGCATACTTTGGCTACACTTTGTGGATTCTCGTCTTACGCTCATCGGTAGATGTTAAACATTTATTGATAAAATTGAAATTAATTAAAATTAATATGTAGTAACTGTATTTAAATGATATTACATGTGAATAATTTATAGAGCTGTCAAAGGAAGTACTGTAGAAACACCAGAAGTAATATACGAATTTCTTAATATTTTAAATGATAATTTAAAACTTAAAGCAAGACAAGATTTTAATGAAATGCAAAAAATGAAAGATGTTGAATCACCTATAAAACAGGTTTACCAATTTTATTATATATATTATTTATAATATTACAGTGATGTCTGCATAAATGTCTATTGCCCTACCATTTCCTAGAACTCTTATATATATATATATATATATA